CAAAACCCCCAGCCACATCAACAGTGACAGCAGCAGCAAGAACAGTAACAGCAGCAACAGCAACAGTGACAGCAACAACAGCAACAATGACACCAGCAGCAAGAACAGTAACAGCAGCAGCAAGAAAAGTGACAACAGCAACCAAAGCAGTGACACCAGCCGTAACAACAGTGACAGCAACAACACCAACAGTGACAGCAGCAGCAAGAACAGTGACAGCAGTAACAGCAACAGCAAGTAACAGCAACAACACCAACAGTGACAACAGTAGTCAGAACAGAAACAGCAGCAATTGTGACAGCAGCAACGGCAACCGTGACCCTAGAAGCAAGAAAAGTGACAACAGCAACCGTAGCAGTGACACCAAAGCAAGAACAGTGACAACAGCAACTCTAGTAGTGACACCAACAGTAACAACAGTAACAGCATAGCAGTGACACCAGCAGTAACAACAGTAACAGCAACAACCCCAACAGTGACAGCAGCAGCAAGAACAGTAACAATAGCAGAAAGAACAGTGACAGCCAATTGTGACAGCAGCAACGGCAACCGTGACCCTAGAAGCAAGAAAAGTGACAACAGCAACCGTAGCAGTGACACCAAAGCAAGAACAGTGACAACAGCAACTCTAGTAGTGACACCAACAGTAACAACAGTAACAGCATAGCAGTGACACCAGCAGTAACAACAGTAACAGCAACAACCCCAACAGTGACAGCAGCAGCAAGAACAGTAACAATAGCAGAAAGAACAGTGACAGCCAATTGTGACAGCAGCAACGGCAACCGTGACCCTAGAAGCAAGAAAAGTGACAACAGCAACCGTAGCAGTGACACCAAAGCAAGAACAGTGACAACAGCAACTCTAGTAGTGACACCAACAGTAACAACAGTAACAGCATAGCAGTGACACCAGCAGTAACAACAGTAACAGCAACAACCCCAACAGTGACAGCAGCAGCAAGAACAGTAACAATAGCAGAAAGAACAGTGACAGCCAATTGTGACAGCAGCAACGGCAACCGTGACCCTAGAAGCAAGAAAAGTGACAACAGCAACCGTAGCAGTGACACCAAAGCAAGAACAGTGACAACAGCAACTCTAGTAGTGACACCAACAGTAACAACAGTAACAGCATAGCAGTGACACCAGCAGTAACAACAGTAACAGCAACAACCCCAACAGTGACAGCAGCAGCAAGAACAGTAACAATAGCAGAAAGAACAGTGACAGCCAATTGTGACAGCAGCAACGGCAACCGTGACCCTAGAAGCAAGAAAAGTGACAACAGCAACCAAAGCAGTGACCCCAGCCATAACAACAGTGACAGCAACAACAGCAACAATGACACCAGCAGCAAGAACAGTAACAGCAGCAACAGCAACAGTGACAGCAACAACAGCAACAATGACACCAGCAGCGAGAACAGTAACTGCAGCAGCAAGAAAAGTGACAACAGCAACCAAAGCAGTGACACCAGCCATAACAACAGTGACAGCAACAACACCAACAGTGACAGCAGTAACAGCAACAGCAACAGTGACAGTAGCAACAGTAACAGTGACCATAGAAGCAAGAACAGTGACAACAGCAACTGTAGCAGTGACACCAGCAGTAACAACAGTAACAGCAACAACACCAACAGTGACAGCAGCACCAACAATAACAGTAATAACAGCATCAGAGACAACAGCTTCAAGAACTGTAACGTCAGCAACAGTAACAGTAACAGCGACACAAGCACCAAGAACAGTAACAGCAGCCACACCAACAGTGACCACAAAAGCAAGAACAGTGACAACAGCAACTCTAGTAGTGACACCAACAGTAACAACAGTAACAGCAACAACACCAAGAGTGACAGCAGCAGAAAGAACAGTAACAGCAGCAACAGTAACAGTGACAGCAACAACAAGAACAGTAACAGCAGCAACAGTAACAGTGACAGCAGCAGCAAGAACAGTAACAGCAGCCACACCAACAGTGACAGCAACAGCAAGAGCAGTAACAATAGCAATAGTAACAGTGACCATAGAAGCAAGAACAGTGACAACAGCGGCTGTAGCATTGATAGCAGCAGCAAGAACATTAACATCAGCAACAATAACAGTGACCATAGAAGCAAGAACAGTGACAACAGCGGCTGTAGCATTGATAGCAGCAGCAAGAACATTAACATCAGCAACAATAACAGTGACCATAGAAGCAAGAACAGTGACAACAGCGGCTGTAGCATTGATAGCAGCAGCAAGAACATTAACATCAGCAACAATAACAGTGACCATAGAAGCAAGAACAGTGACAACAGCGGCTGTAGCATTGATAGCAGCAGCAAGAACATTAACATCAGCAACAATAACAGTGACCATAGAAGCAAGAACAGTGACAACAGCGGCTGTAGCATTGATAGCAGCAGCAAGAACATTAACATCAGCAACAATAACAGTGACCATAGAAGCAAGAACAGTGACAACAGCAACTCTAGTAGTGACGCCAACAGTAACAACAGTAACAGCAACAACACCAACAGTGACAGCAGCAGCAAGAACAGTAACAGCAGCAGCAAGAATAGTAACAGCAACAATAGCATCAGAGACAACAGCTTCCAGAACTGTAACTGCAGCAACAGTCACAGTAACAGTGACATTAGCAGCAAGAACAGTAACAGCAGCCACACCAACAGTGATCACAGAAGCAAGAACAGTGACAACAGCAACCGTAGCAGTGACACCAGCAGTAACAAAAGTAACAGCAACAATACCAAGAATAACAGAAGCAGCAAGAACAGTAACTGCAGCAACAGCAACAGTGACAGCAGCAACAGCAACTGTGACACCAGCAGCAAGAAAAGTAACAGCAGAAGCAAGAAAAGTGACAACAGCAACTGTAGCGGTGACACCAGCAGTAACAACAGTGACAGCATCCACACCATCAGTGACAGCAGCAGCAAGAACATTAACAGCAGCAACAGCAACAGTGTCCATAGAAGCAAGAACAGTGACAACTGTAGCAGTGACACCAGCTGTAAGAACAGTAACAGCAACAACACTAACAGTGACAGCAGCAGCAAGAACAGTAACAATAGCAGAAAGAACAGTGACAGCAGCCACATCAACAGTGACAGCAGTAGCAAGAACAATAGCAGCATCAATAGTGACATCAGCAACAGCAACAGTGACCATAGAAGCAACAACAGTGACAACAGCAACACCTACAGTAACAGCATCAACAGCAACAGTGACAGCAGCAGCAAGAACAGTAACAGCACCAACGGTAACAGTGACCATAGAAGCAAGAACAGTGACAACAGCAACACCAACAGTAACAGCATCAACAGCAACAGTGATAGCAGCACCAACAGTGACAGCAACAATAGCATCAGAGACAACAGCTTCAAGAACTGTAACTGCAGCAACAGCAACAGTAACAGTGACATCAGCAGCAAGAACAGTAACAGCAGCCACACCAACAGTGACCATAGAAGCAAGAACAGTGACAACAGCAACACCAACAGTAGCAGTGACAGCACCAACAGCAACAGTGGTGGCAGCAGTATCAGCGACAGCAACAGCAATAGTAACAGCAACACCAACAGTGACATCAGCAACAAGAACAATAACAGCAACAGTAACAGTGACAGTACTGTCAGCAGCAGCAACAAAATTAACAGCAACAGTGACAACAGCAACAGTAAAAGCAACAACACTAACAGTGACAGCAGCAGTAAGAACAGTAACTGCAGCAGTAGTAAGAATAACAGCAGCAACAGTGACAAAAGCAACAAGATCAATAACAGCAACTGTGACAGCAGCAACACCAACAGCAACAGTAATGGCAGCAACAGCAACAGTGACAGTAATAGCAAGAACAGTAACTGCAGCGTCAAGAACAATAAGAGCAGCAACAAGAACAGTAATAGCACCAGTAAGAGCAGTAACAGCAGCAACACCAACAGTAACAGCAGCAACATCAATGGTGACCACAGCAGCAAGAACAGTGACAATAGCAAAACCAACAGTAGCAGTGACATCAGTAAGAACAGTAATAGCAGCAACAGCAACAGAATCAATAACAATGATAGCAGCAACAACACCAGTAACAGTGACAGCAACAGCAACAGTAACAGCAACAACAGTGACAACAGCAACAAGAAGTGTAACTGCCACAATAGCACCAGTAACAGTGACAGTAACAGCAACAAGAAGTGTAACTGCCACAACAGCACCAGTAACAGTGACAGCAACAACAGCAACAGTGACAACAGCAACAGTAAGCAGCAATATTAATAGCAGCAATAGAACAATAACTGCAACAATAGCAACCGTTAACTGTAACAGCTGCAGCAGCAACACCAACAATAACAGCAACAGAACCACCAAAGAAAGAGCAGGCCACCATTCAGCTCCCACAAATTGTCAATAAGAGGAAATGCCTGTTCCAGATTCCCACACTGGTTTTGTCACAGATCCTGGGAATTCAGCATTTCTCACTTTAGAAAAGATTATGTGGCTGAAAAAAGAACTAGGTGTCCCATGGCTTCCAGCATGTGACATCAGGTCCAGTTGAGACCTATTTTCTCAACAGCAGTTCCAGAAAAGCCTCAGACCCCTGGGTATCAGCAGCTTGCTGCCCTGGGACTTGTGTTACACACTGAACAGAAAATTTTCTCTATCTTCATCAAGTTTTGCCTTTATATGCTAAGAAAGCCCTTTGCATAAAATTTCTGTTTGGCATGTGTGAGCAGTCAGCATCACTGCTCTTGGGTCATGATCAAGTAAAAAGAAGGGTATGTGAACACAAGTATAGTGACACCTTCCAACAGGTAACTGAGGTGTCTGTTCATGGCCTAATGGGTGGGTAGTATATACAGTGTGGATACACCAGGCAAAGGAAAAATTCTTGTTATGAGTGTGACAGGGACAGACATGCAAGATTTTGTTATGTTACTCAGAGAAGTATGCAAAATAAAATTATATATAGATATGAATTATTTCTGGAATTTTCCATTTAATATTTCCAAACTCCAATGGAAGCTGAAGGACCATGGGTTATTGAAAAGATGGAAATAAAAACCACAGATAAGGGAGTCTACTTGAATGTTTCTATAATCTTGTCACTTTATTTTTAATACTATTTTCTATTTGTATGTCTATGTATCTATGTCATATTTATCCAAATGGTAGAATGAATACTTTTATATTTTATGTTTCTGTTTTTTTCCAATAGCAATGTATTTTTTGACAACTTTTCTTGTCAGTGGATATAAATGTCTCTTTTTAAAAATGGCTGAATAGTGTTTTATAGTATGGCATATAATAATTCATTCAACTGAAGATTTCCAACTGAAGAGCATTTAGGTTGCTTCTAGTCCTTTGCTGCACTAAAAGATGCTTTTACATGTAAAAGCATTTCACACATGTAAATTTCAAGAGGTTGTGACTGGGTAAAGGCAGACAGACAGGTGTCACCCTGTTTCTATGGTTGGGCTGCCTGTTTGGAGGATTCAGTGCATGGTCACAGTCATGTTGGTCCTGCATATTCTTCCCCAGGACAGTGTGTTCCAGGTAGTTTGATCTCTGATGGCCAGAGGAATGCCAGTGCCATGTCAGTTCACATTCTTCTGGTTATGAAGAAGGTGGTGGGACTCTCCTTTCTGCTGAGTCAGCTGCCCAGCCCCTTCCTGTTTCCTGCTTTTGGGCAACTGTTCTTGTAGCATTGTTAGAGTTCTCCATATATGTTCAGAAAGCCAGCCCTTTGTATAGTACTAAACACTTTATCCAGGTTTCTCAGTGATGACAGTATTTCAACTCAACTTTGAATTTTTGTAACTGCAGACAGACTAGTCTTTCTCGTATAGGCCCTAGACTTTCCCTCTTCCCTCCTTCCCTCCTTCCTTCCTACCTTTCTTCCTTCCTTCCTTCCTTCTTTCCTTCCTTCCTTCCTTTCTTCCTTCCTTCCTTCTTCCTTCTTTCTTTCTTCCTCTCTCTTTCCTTCCTTTCTTTTTCTCCCTCCCTCCCTCTCTTTCTCTTTCTCCTCCTCCTTTTCTTTCTTTTTTTTTGTTACATTTAGGCAGACCCTGCCTATTATGGCAGCGTGAACTATAACCAATCCTCCCATGGTGTTGTCTCTTTTTGATATCTAATGCTTTGCTGTAGCTTGCCTTGATTACATGATATGAGACCTGGGTTCAACCTAATCTTTCTTCCCAGTTGGATCCAGAATTGCCTAAGTGTCTGTGCAGGAGTTCATTCAGGGAGCCCAAGTACCTACCTTTGCATGTTTTCAGCATCCTCAATGGTCTCAGGCAGAGCCTTCCCTTTGGTCTCAGGTAGCAACAGAACAAGTCCCCCAGCAACAAGGCCAACTATAGCTGGGACACAGATGTGAATTGTATCAAGAACCAGAAAGGCAGTCTCTATAATTAGGGCTTCCCTTGTTTCCCTCTCTCTTTTGGGGGGTATGTTTTCCCATTCTTATTTATAGACTCCTTTGCCATCTTTCAACACCCTGTTTTCCATCATAAATAAATACCTAATGCCAAACACCATTGGGTAACAATTCCATTTAGGGAAATGAAATACTTAACATTTTGAGTCAAGGTTATTCTAGGCAACAGGACATCACCACAGTGTTAAGAAATTTCAGAGTTAGAAAATAACTCTGAAAAAAAAAAAAACCTCAAAAACCCTAACCATATGAAGAATGTAACTCTGCCGATAGAAAGCATCCCGAGTTGGGAACAAGTCAGAAACTTGGACCATTGCTAGCTAACAAGAGTAACTAACAAGGGCTAGCAAGATGGCTCGGAGGATTAAGATATTTTCTGCTAAGCTTGAGGATATGAGTTCAATCCCCAGGACCCACCCACATTATGGGAGGATAAAACTGAACTCCACTTGTTGTATTGTGGCACCCATGCAAACACACACGCACACACACACACACACACACACACACACACACACACACACACACACTAAATAAATATAGTTAAGTAATCCCTTTAATAAAAGAACAATACATTATATATTACTACATATATAATACTATCACAAAGCACAGTGAAGTCATTTGTTCAAGTTCAGATGTTCAGGGCTGAGAGGCTAGTGGTACTCACCTGTAATCATAGCGTCTGGGAGACTAAGGTGGGAAGATTGTGAATTCAAAGGCAATATGGCCTACAGAATGAGGCTCTGTCCCTGTGCTGTCTAATTAAAATATTAAACATTTTTATTTTATGTATATGTGTGTGTTGCCTGCATATGTGTGTGTGTGCCACATGGTACAGTGTTGCTGAGCACAGAAGAGGGTATTGGATTCTCTGGACAGTTGTTAGCTGCTGTCTGGCTGCTGGGAATCAATCTGGGTCCTATGCAAGAGCAGCCAGTGCCCCAAACCACTGAACACTCATTGAGTCCCCTGGTTTGTTGTTATTGTAAACCTGGCACAACATAGAGTCACTTGGGAAGGGGGACCTCATTTGAGTAATTGCCCACATCAGATTGGCCTGTGGCTGCATCTGTGAGAGATTTTCTTGATTGATAATTGATATGGGCAGGCCCAACCTACTGTGGGCGGTTGTGCCATTCCTCAGCAGGTGGGCCTGGGCTCAGGTATCAAGGAAGCCAGAGAATGAGCCAGGAGACAGAGTTCCTGCCTTGACTTCCTTCAATGGTGGAGTGTGACCCGGAAGTATAAGCCAAATCAACCCTCTCCTCCCCCAAATTGCATTTGGTCAGAGAGTTTTATCACAGCAACAGAAAGGAACCTATAACAGTCTCCCCCCACCCACCCACCATGGGTATAGCTTAGTGGCAGAGAGTTTGCTTATCATTTATGAGGCTCTAGGTTCAATCCCTCGCAGGCACAGAAAATAATACAAGGCCACCTCATGGGTAGAATGTTTGGCTGCACATGGCCACTTGGCTTCTTTTGTTCCTTTGTCTCAGTCTCTAGTTATAATTTGTAATAACCATATTAATATTTTTGTCTTCTTTAGATTCATATTGGACATACATAACTTTAAGGGGTGTGCTTCGGTTTTTTTTGTTTCCCCTGTAACAGTGTGTAGAAATGGGGCGCCAGTTCTTCGCTAGTTTGGGGTTTTAAAGGACTGCATGCTGGATGCCATTTCTCTTTAGAAACAGCAGAAATGGACCCTTGGGCACAAGCCCTGTACCAGGCCTCTGGGTCCGACTCTGACTCCTGGCTGGTCCGGGGACCTGGGGACTTGAGAGTGACTGGACTTTCTGCCCTTTGTCAGGTGACATAATCTACTCCACATAACCATGGCATGAACTGTGGATGTGCCTGAGAATAGTTAACTTCTCTGATGCTTTCAAGCCTCTCAACACGATCCATACTGTAATGAGTAACAAATGCAAGCAAGACCCAGCTGAAGCAGAGTCCCTTCCCTCTACAGGATTTCTCTACCCAGATGGGACCTTGATATAACCTAGATCAAGGAAGAGACTCTCAGTGAGGGGTTGCCTACACTGGGTTGGCCTGTGGGTGTGCCTATGGGGGATTGTCTTAATTGATGTGGGAAGAGCCAGCCCACGGTTGGTATTACCATTCACTAAGCAGGGGGTTCTATGTGAGCCCATTAAGCAAGCAAGAACACTGTGTTCCTTTTTCTCGCTCCTGATTGCCTGTGGATGTGTGACTAGACGCCTGAAGTTACTCCCTGACTCCCTGACAGTGTAGAAGGTGACTTGGAATTGTAAGCTAGGATAAATCCTTTTCTTCCCTATGTTACTTTTTGTCAAAGCAGCAGAAATGAAATTAGGCCAGTAGCCCAGAGCCTCCTGCACTTGCTTCCCAAGTGCTGGGCTCACAGGAGTGCCCTGCCATACCTCTCTAGCTGGGAGTCTCTGAAGAGGGTGAAGTCCAAGAAAGCAGGTCACAGATTAGCATTTTATCTGTGCAAGGATCAGCCTCACTAACCACGACAGCATTCCCTCCTTTCCCTGTGATCTTTATCTGTTTTGTTCTGTTGCTTTAGATGAACCAGGGCTTTGCCCATGCTAAGCAAATACAGTGCCACTGAGCCACCTCAGCCCTCCAGTGGGCACTTAGCCAGTATTTTTAGGCTTCTTAGATTAAACAGCTATTTCAGAGAGATGGGGGGAGGTGGAGAGGGAGAGAGAGAGAGAGAGAGAGAGAGAGAGAGAGAGAGAGAGAGAGAGAGAGAGAGAGAACTGTTCTGGAGAGAGAGAGAAAGGAAGGAAAGATGTTAGAATCTTAGTTATCTTCCTGCCACTAGGTTAAAGGTGGGCAAAAGAAGATGACAAAAACCCTTGCAGAGGTGAATTTGGGACAGTCTTTAAGTTTGCTATAATCTTTGAAATACAGCTCTGTCCTTTGTGTCCTCCAGGGGATGGTGACGTGGGGCAAGGGACCACACTACTCCATATGGGCCTAGTCTTTTCTTGGACTTGCTAAGTAGTGGTTGCAGAAACACAGAGCCCCCTTCTGCTCCCCAGAAATGTCCTGCTGACCCCTCAGCCATTACCTACCAAGGATCAGATACCTCTAACTCCTCCTGGAGAGAAGGAGCTGGTGTATGGTGGGCACTTCCTGAGGAGGAAGGAGGCTCTGGGACAGGCTTGGTAGTCAGAGATTTGGGGCACATTCCTCCTGTCAGTGGGCCTGGTAACGCTGGTTATCTCAGGGTAAAGAGCCCGTGTGCTGTCTGCATTGGCCATCTTGTTAGTATTATGGGACGTGGAGGAACTTACTGGGTGTGTTTTGATGGAAAGTTTATAGCAACTGCTTGAAACTTTCATTGCCATGGACGACTTCCCTCTCACAAATCCCTCATGCACAAGGCAAGGGAAGGAACAAACCAGGGTAAGTGGAGGGGACAACACCCAACCCCAAGAGAGCAGTATTGGGTGCATTTGCCGTGGAGTCCAGGGCAAAAATCAGGGTGT